TCTGAATGTGACTGAAATCTAAGGTGTGGAGTGGGGCCCCGTGTGTTACATGTGTGTGTCCTCACCTCCAGACTGAGGCGTGTGGGTTTTCCTGTGCTGTCAGTAAACAGCAGCAGTGTGTGCCAGCCTGTGCCCTGCAGGTACAACCCTGTGTTGTAACTTCAAAAACTACAACAAAGCTTATCAAGTCTGCTTTGTGATCTCAGTTTAAGAAAGGAAAGGATGTTTTCAAAGGTGTGGGTTGTTAAGCTTTTTTTTTTTTTCCTTTATCTAGCAGTATCTTTGTATGAAAAGACTTCTGATAACAGCATTTAATCTAGCAGAGCAAGCCATTGCAAGTCAGAGAATGGAGTTGGACAAATCTCTGTTAGGAACAAGTCCTTCAGAGAGTTGTTAGACTTGTGTGTCTTGCCTTGAAATGCACTGGATCCAAGGTTACTTTCTGACAAGCTGCTGTAACCAAACTTCATAGGTTAGTGCTCTGGGGCGAAAAGTTCTGGCCCGTCTCTGCCAGGAGTGAAACTGCAGGTTCATAATGAGTCATCTTAACATTACAGTTGATAACTCTAATACTGCTGGATTAAAAATACCGTGTTTTTTTTTGTTTTGGTTTTGTTTGTTTGTGGGTTTTTTGCATGTTCTCTGTATAGATGGCAACAGTGAACTTTTTCTGCTGGGAAAACTTTTCCATACCTCTTTGGTGTGTGTTTTTTTTTTTGTTTTGTTTTGTTTTGTTTTTTTTTTTTTAAGACAGCTAATCTGGCTTAGCTATCCTATATGAGCAAGTATCTTATGTCACTTGCATCTGCAAACAACTGCAGCTAATATATGTATTTTTTTACTGTTATGTATGGGTCTTTGCAGAAGTGAACCAAGACCTGGGTACACTATTTCTGGGTTTTCTCTTCTGTAAGAAGCAGCTTATCCAAGCTTTTGAAATAACTATTGAGAGCTGGCAATGATGTTGGTAGAGGTCTTTGGATTTCTTGTACTAGGAATCTGGCATAAACTGATTGTTCCTTCCCCAGGACCATCTTCTTGTCTTCATGAAACTCTTCCCTGCTATCTCAATGCAGTTCTTAATTTCAGTTACTGAAGCTCAGTGTGTCTGGAGTGGAATGAGACCAAGTATGTCCCTCCACCTCGCTTGTTGATGGCTTGTCTTGGAGCCTGTTTCTGGAATGATTCACTTCAGAGTTGCATTTCAGTAACGCTGAAGTTTGTCAGGATGAATGTTGGTTACAGTAAATGAAAGGGATGAGCAGTCAGTCTGCATGGTCCTGCCTCTCCTCTTCATTATTAACACCCCCTCAAGGACTGTCAGGACAACTCTTGTCATTTTGCTCCTGCTCTTATCACAGTAGAGGTTTCCTACCAAGACTGAAACGTATCTTCAGCATCATGTATGTTCCTGCAAGGATTATAGCTTCTTTAATAAAATGAAGAAAGGACTTTAGATTTATTCTCATTCTGCTATATATTACGATTGTTTAAATGTTACAAGTATTTTTTTCATAGTGCGAACATCCAGCAAGGCCATACTGTGCCCTCATGGATGACAGCCTACATCTGAATGGTGACTGACTTACCTCAGCAAGAAGTGGGCAATCTTTGAGCACTGATGACCCAGTGAAACCTTTCCTGTCATGAGGCTCCTCCTGGCAGATCAGCCAGTCTGTCCACAGGATCCTGACATGAGTTTTGGCTTGCTGATAACTATGGTCACTGTGATGAACCTCTTTGTGTTGTTTTCTTTCAGTTGTTACCATGTTTAAATTTTTTTTTAAGGGATTATTGGTTGAAGTTTAATAGAATGCAGCTGGAAGGGTAGAGTTGATGTTAGTTTGCTGATGGGTCAATTAGTGAATCTCCTATCTTAGAATGAAGGTAATATTTTAGAGCTCCTGCAACAGGGATCTTGTGCCAGCTAGGCTTTCAGGCTGGCTCTTGTGATTCACTTTGTCATTCATGCACTGCTAAACAGACACTTGCTGATGTTGTCTGTTAGTGATGCACATTTGGTTAGCAAAACTTCAGGACTTCCTTTATGTCAGAATGTCTGCTTATGAACATGTCTGATGTTTAGTGGCACATCTTGGAGAAATATATGGAAATCCTGCAGCAGAAAATGAAGCATGAATACTGAACATGAGAGGGGCGGGGAACAGGTGCTTTTATTTTTGTAAGAGTGTAATGATTTTACTTGTAGCTTGCGTGTAATTACTCTGAAAATCAAAAATTCCCTTTGGAGGATGGGGGAAAGAAAGATCCTTCATTTCTGCTCTGGGGCCTTGGCTGGCTGCCTCAGAGGATGGGTAGGTGGGAATTCTGTGACAAAAACCAAATGAACAAAAGCCCTGTTCTCAACTTATTGCTTAGCCATTGTGGAATTTCATACTACAGAAATGATACTGTCATGGATTACATACAATTTGTCAGAAAGATTTTGTACGCTGATAACAATTGATCTGAGATATAGGACATGTAAGACTGAAAGAGTGGGGTGGTTTTATTTTCTTTCTTCATTAAAATACTAGGAGTCAGAGGAAACATTAAACTATTTGTGTCAAACCCACCTTTGGATGAAGATCAGAGTGATGAAAGCAAGCAAACCTGTAGTGTAGCAAACATATTTCTTCACTGAAGTGACACTGCATGTCTTCCCCATTGATTTCTTACATCTTTGTGAGATGACTCTGTGCTCTGTGGGACAGCTGTACTTCTGTGACAGTGGCAAAAGTAGCTGTCGTAGCTGCAGGAACTGCAAATGGTATTGCTTTTTGTACATCAGGGCTCAAGACTGAAAACAACTTTAGTGACAGCTTTAGCTAGTTCAAATATTTACTGTTATACTTTCCTTGTGCAACAGTAAGATGTTGTGTCCATCAGCCACTAGGTGCACTTGCTGCCCGAAAGAATGACATAGCCTTAGAAGATTGTGGGGAGATTAAAAAACAAAAAAAAGGAGACTGTATTGGCAGGGAGGGCTAGCCTGAAATTTGTCAGTGTCTTCAGCAGCTAAAGCTTGCTAATGAAAATTCCCTACTAAGCAAATGCTTCATTGATGAAAACATGAGGTCCCTCTGCCTGTCCTCTCCTACCCTTCCTGTTGAAGGATTACTGAGGCTTTTTGCCTTTTAAATCTCATTAATGTTGCTGGGGCTTGAATTTGGCCTTTAAAATGCTGAAATCCTCTTTGCTGTTGTTACTCTGTAACAAGGCAATAGTTTCTTCTGTGCTTCAATTTTCAGCAAATGGGAATTCCCTGATTGTATTCCCAGCTGGAACTGGCGCTGGGGTTGGACGCTGCTGAAAGGTGTAACGCTGGTGTGACTGTACTTGGTATGCTCAGAGCCGTGCCCAGATGAAGCAGCAAAAGCAGAGAACAAGAGTTGCTTTATCATGGGTAATCCTGAACTACCCTGGGCTGGAAGTTGTGGTGTATCACACCATGCATTATAGATGCAAATACTTGTACAGCCCTAGAGAGCACACACCTTTTTTTTTTTTTTTTTTTTTTTTTAAAATTATTTCCTGAGGGGAACTATGCTCTGGCTTCTAGTTGCTGTTCGGCACTGTTGATGTATTGTTACACTCCTTTTCCATAGGAAAGCCATAGTGTTTCCTTAATGTAACTTTCTGTGCTTTATTTTTGTAATTTTCCTGTTCTGTTAGTTTCTTACCATTGACCTCAAATCACTCCCTTTCCCAGGTGCCCTCTGACTGGGGCAGAGGGGCCACCAGGCCCCTGCCTCTCCCTTGGGAGCACAGAGAGCACCTGTACCCTGCCTGGAGGTCTGCGGGGACTGACACACTCCCCCTGCCAAAGGTCCCTTCATCTCCTCTGCTACAGAAACAAGCAACAAAATTCAGAAATAACGCCAGATACAAGAAACTATTCATGATTTGAATTATCTTTTCAATTTATATGTCAGGTCCTCAGGAACGCCTGCAGGGGATACATTGGCCAGCTACATTTATAAGACTATAAATGCGTTTTTTTTGGAAAACATCTTACACACATTTAGGTTCTCAAGTAATTCTCCCCACTCCATTTCCACATGGCCAGGTAAGTCTTAGAACATCACAGCTCCTGTCCTGTAAAGCCTGACAGTCTCGGGTCCCTCAGTTCATAGACACCCACTGCATTTCCAGAGCTGGGGCATGTTATACCTTTCCAGGATTCCAGGTTTGAATGGGTCCAGAGAAGCCTTTGTATGGAATACATAGCTATGCTGCCACACTAATATGGCAGTCACTGAATATTTATGACTTCATAGCAACACATCTGCAGTATTTGTGGGAGTGTTTCTAATAGAAATAAGGGTATTTCCCAGAGAACAGATAATTTTTTAAAAATTTAATTGACCCATTTACAACAGAATTTTAATAAGCCCAACACTGTATGTGGGGTACAACCTTGCAAGATTCTGTCACTATTTTTAAATCCCAAAATTGTCTTTTTTTGGGCTTATTTTTATTTGTAATTGTTCTTGGCACAATAATTTATTGAAATTGGAAAAATAATATGACCCCTCAAGGCTCTTCAGTCTGAACATCAAAGCCACTCCTCTCTTCCAAATCTAGGAGTCACATTAACATGTAGTTAAGGAGCAACATTTATTTATATTTGTTTCCGAGTGTAAGTAATTTTCAGTTTTTCCTAACTGAAGTTTAAATGCAAGCATGTCTTAGTACATGCGAGGCAGGGATTCAACACTACTGAGAGCTTGAGGGGAGGTTTGCTATAAACAATTCAGGTTCCTAAAGATGTCTGGGAATAACACATAGCTATGAGGTTAGTAAAGATCAAGATCTCTGTGGAGGCATCTTTGGCTAATAGCATGTTTACCTGCTTTTTAAGAAGGCTTGTGCAAAGCTCAAATAACCAGGGTGGAGAAAGTCTGTTTAAGCTCCTACTTGCCTGAAAGCTAAAATACTCTCTTACACCCTTTACAGGTTGCATATGAGATCTTTTTTCCATTTTTTGTGTGTACTCCTGTATTAGCACATGCTCACCTAAATTTTGGAGTATATCACTGTGGGAATGCAGACCATTATAACCATTAACCATATTTATTCATCTACTCTTGCTGTGTAAACACAGTAGAGATTCTTTTGGTTTTGGTTTGGGTATCACTTACCTGAAGCAACTTATTAAAAAACCCACAGTTTCCTTGTAAACCCAATTTTTGTAATTGCTTTAATACATTAGTAGATAATTAATACTGATTTACATAGTTTGACTTTTAGAAATTAGATTTACTTTAAGTACAATTATTTAAACTAGTGATGGAGTACAATTATTATTCCTAGGAAAGACAAATTTATATATGAAGTTTCCAGGAAGATGTCTTAACAAAAAGTAAACACTAAATTTTATGTATTATAACTTCATAATCTTGCTAACTTTTCATGATCATCTTCTTGTGCATAAAATCTACTTTTAAACAACTATCAAGCATTACAGAAAAGTTGAAGAGTTTAAAAATAATTAACCAAAGTGTGCAATCTATCTTTTATATAAATCCTCAACTGTCATCTTGAAAAAAGTTGGTAAAAAAACAAATTTGAAAATTCAGTGCTGACTTCACAAGAAGTCTTATTAATTTGCTTTAGTGATACTGGACTTCTTCCAGAGTTGGTCCAGGTAAGAGATTCCAAGACAGTGAAAGTGCAAGGATGATCTCAGAGCCATGTCACGCTGGAGCCTGAGGTGGTCAGGGCACAGCTTGGAGACATGTGGGATGTCAAGCAGAGGAAACTGATGCGCAGCTGGCTTAAGAATCCCACTGCAAGAAACAATGAAAAATGCCTGTTATTCAACAGACTGGTCATGTTTGTTTAGAGTAAGATCAAACACTGTTATTTGTTGAAATGAGTATGAGAGAATCAAAACCACAGTGTAATCCTCCTTCAGATCTGCCAGCTGGATCTCAACTCTGTTATTCTCCTCCCCCCTTGCATAAGGAAAGTGTGATGATCTACAGGCAGGCATGAGCAACATAGCTAAGAAATTTGCAATGGAGTTGGAGGCTTGACTGCTTCGAGAGTCAGAATATTAGCAACAGAAATGTAATTTCTGAATGTTCTATCTGCAATTTTTTGGCAATAATCAAACACTCAAAAATCTCCCTGAAATTAGTAATAAAAAAATAGTGGTCTGTCATAGTTTTTTTTTCTTTTTCTACAAGAAAGGTCCAGTCCTCTTAAGTGGTATACACAGTATTGTATACATCACTGAATGTATTTCATCACATTTGGAAAGAATACTGGAAAAAAAAAAAAAAAAAAAAGGTAAGATTTCACTGTGGGAAGTTTGTACTGAAAGCATAAATTTCAGACACGTAGTTAGTTTCTCAGAGGAGAAATCTCACAATTTCACTCTAAGTGCATGTTTTCCAGTGGATGGGGGTAAATGAAAATTCCCTTTCCAACTCTTGTTATTTTTCTGTTAATATGTTATGTTAACATTACCTTAAGTGGTGTAAAAGAGAGAAGAAAAAACCACAACCCCTAAACCACTATGGTTTTTTTAACCTTGCTGGGACTATTCTACTATGTCACAGCTGCGGCATATGTGCTTCTACATAAACTCTTTGCTTTTCAAATACTAGTAAGTTTAGTGCTATGGTATTAAAGGCCTCTGAACCAACCTGAAGACAGGAAGCAGCAAGAAAGCTCTGGAGAGGCCATACTTTGCAGAAGAGGAGAACCTTGGAGTTCGGTGTGGGTAATTCACAAACAGAACTGATTGAATGTGTTGGATAAATTGTATTTTGCAAGGTCTCCCATACTTAATTCACCTTCTTTCTCCCACCTAACAATTTTCTAAAAGTGACAGAGATCACCTATTCTGATCCTGGGGTAATTCCCACTCCCCCCTTGAATGATTCATCTCACTTTAGCAATCTGCAATTTATAAGCAGCTCTGCTGTTACCAAATTTTTCATAACAGTTTTTGCCAGCTTCAGAGCTTTTAACATTCAAAGCTTTTAGCCATTTAGTGGAGGTGACAACAGCTCTGTTAAGAAAGCCCATGTAGGAGCTGAGCTGCCTATTGAAGGCAGAGTAATAATTTTTCATTTTCAGTTCATGTCATAAGACTAATATTTTGCGTCTTAGGAGAACTTTGGAAGAGGGGGCCTGAACAAGTGATTGAGAGGAGAAGCAGCAGCAGAGGAGGTACCTATTATTTTATGGTGTGGACACCATACTCCAGTAAGCAGGAGGGCAGCTGGCTGCAGAAATGAGACAGGGAAACACAATTCTCGCAAGAAGCAACTGCCTTCTTTACATGAGACAAGGGTCACAGAAAAGACCTCACTGAAGATAGCACAAAAATAGTGCTACAAGAGTATATAACATGTTATTCCCCCCATCTGGAAAAGCTGGAGAGGGAAATTGAATCAAAATAACAAAAAGGCTAACAAAGCCTTTAAAATTACATTTATCTTCAGGAATAAACTGTATCATTTTGTGTTAACAAATATTATTTAATCTCTTTTACAACTCTAATAATGCAAAATTACAAATACTGCTCCTATCTAAAATGGTAAACTTTTAAATTTGAAACTTTCAGGTCCTAAACTCATCTGAAAGAAAGGAAACTGAAGAATACAATCTAACTCTGACTTTTGGAGCTGTTCAGCACAGACTCTTCTTGCAGAGAACAACAAACTGAAGAAATTCAGTGCCTAAGAAAACCCAGGGATTGGAAATTTGTTACAGATCTCAAGGAAAAGATTTGCACATATGTTAACGGAAAGCAGACATGTTCTTGGCCTTAAACTTTCAATGTCAATCATCCTTCCACACATAAGACTCCTTCATTGTCAGAGGAATTAGCAGAATACAAAATTTTCCAGGTGATTATTTCACTGTACCATATTCTGAAAATGAATGCAAGATAACTCATGAACTCTGCAACCTTGGATCATGATCTAAGTTCAGTTTCTGGTAAGTTTGTTCTCAGCACAAATATTGAAACCAAACTGATTTAAAAAAATCCACAAAACACAATCACCAAACCCCCCAAAACCCAATAAATGCTGCTGTACACCAGATTTATTTACTTTTATCTCCTAGCAGCAAGCCTAATGATCAAGTTTCACTGAAAGATAGACATAGTTTTAAAACTGGTATGAGATGTGCATGGAAGAACACAGGTAGCAAATAGTAATTAAAACCCCCAACTATTAAAGATCTCATTAGATGCCCAAACCCAAGAAACTCACAATTACTAACACAAACATAAGAAAATGCTGCTGTATCATCACCTGTAAGCTCTCCAACACTTAAATGACCATTGGTCTCTTGGTTGATCAGCACTTCTGGACACATCCTTCCATCTCTACCTCTCAACTTTATTTTGATATTCAATACATTTGATACTGCACGTGCCATCAGGATATAGGACTACACTCTAATACAGCTTTTGGTTGCATAAGCTTGTTAGTTGCAAGAATTAATGGGAACTCTCTTCAACTGCATCCACAAGTCAAGTATGTGTCTGTCTGCTTGCAAATCTGCCCTGCAGTAACAAGAATAGGTTGATATCTGACAAAAAATAAGTTCTAGTATAAACCAGAATGTATGATGTTATGGCTTATCTGGTGAAATCAGACCTCTGAGATGCACTCCCATTGTATGGTTATGCAAATGCACTCTGATGGAAAGCACTTCCACAAGCGTTAGTTTCCATGACAAATAATGTCTCTCTCTGTGTGTTCACATACATGCTTTTACCTCTGTTAATTAGGCATCTGTTCCTTGTCTGTTGGGTTCCTAGTTGGAGACTAAAAAGAAACAGATGTAATTAATAAATAGTCATGTATATCAACGATAAATTAGGCCAGTGAAGAATGTCTTTCAAAACTGAATAATTCACAAAATACATATCTAGGATGAGTCACTTTTTATGTTTTTTACTTCAAATCTGAACACAACACACATCCCTGGGTGCAGGGGAGCAAGAGACATCCACAAAAATCAGCAGGTGTTGTGTGGGAGGATGACATAAGGTGGATTTTGTACAAATCTTACTTCTACCATCATGGCTGGTCTTTATTGCTGGCAATTAGGAGAGGCTGAGGGGTACATGGATATTCAGTTGTCTGATAAACTATTCAGTCAACAGTTTGACTGAGGGCTTGCCTTATGAAGACCTGTTTTCATGACAAATGGGCAGGAAACTGATTTTTGTTATTTTCTTGATTTTAAATTTGACATCATGTGCAGCTACAAAATATTTAAGAAACTGGAAATAAGCCAGGCTAAAGATGTAGCTTCACAAGTCCAGTGGATTGTAAACAGCAACAAATAAGTATTTTCAAGACTAGAGGTTCTGACTGAAATACATACTATTGAAGTAATGAAGAAAAAAATTATTTTTTATGACTTCCTCACTCTCCACACATACAAGCTTTTGTATGTGCTTCATGATTCTGAGTTATTTCCACTTTGCTAATTGGGTTGAGTAAAGTTTGAGTTCTCGTGGATCCAAATGTCAAAATTAGAGTCTGTCATTATTCATCCTCCTACTGACCTATCAGAGACAAGAGAAATTGGTTAATGTGTTTAAAATTAATTGCTGTGGTTTTGTTTTCAGGGAACTCCACCTGCAAGCTGGAGTGGCATCAACTGATGAATAAGCAATCTGTTAGCAACTTGGACTAAAAACAAGGTGCTGATGAGGGTTGAGGAATGAAGCCAGACATTTAGGATAGCAAACATAATCAATAACCTGCCAATTTGTGAAAGGTGCATAGTGCTCTTCCGAGTGTTTTTTGGATGACTCCAAGGAAGAGATTTGGTCTTTGGCATCTGGTTGAGCAAACTTAATTAAACTAGACCTGTTTTGCTGTCATAGGCATCTACAAATCTGGAAATCAAAACCTGGAAGAAGGAATTCTGTGGAGGATGCCTTTACTGCAGTGGATGACCTGGCTGTTTACAGTGCCTTACAGGAGTGGGTCAGTATTGAATAGTATACAGCAACAGATAGTAGAGTTGTCCTTCTTGGATATACGAAGGCCACTTTCAGTAGAAGTACCCTTCTGATCCTACTGATTTTAATAGCTAAGAAATAAATAGTTTCAGCTGAGCTCTCTGTGGAAAAAGCTTGTGACCCTTCCACAGCAGGCCACTGACCTTGCCAGTCTTGCCAATGATCCCAAGACTGGAACAGATGTAAAGACCAAATTACTCATTTGCCTCAGGGGTATATTTGTCATTGGAGGACTACTAAGCATCTAACATGTTTCCCAAGACCAACCTTTATTTAAAACTATTATGTAAGTTACTGGCATTGAAACAATAATAATAATAATAATAATAATAATAAATAATAATAATGTCAAGCTTAATATTGGCTTAATGCAGTATTGGTCTTCTGAAGTCTATCCGAGTTATAGTTTGTGTTCTGTGGCCTTTATCTTGCTCATTACTTAGCAGTAAAGCAGTGACACCTACTAATCAGTTTTTGTTGCTATGCCAAGGGTAGAGAACAGAGTATCAGTCGTTCCCTGTTTTGATGAGGAATCTTACGCTATACTAGCTGTATCCCTAAAGACCAAGTTCAAGGTTCTACAGAGATGAGCTATGAGGGGATAACTAACTACAAGCAATTCAAACTGTCTTATGTAGTTTCGGCAATCTTGCACTTATTTTTAGATGCTGGATGACTAAATCTGTGGGATGTGGCACATAAGGTGCCATAATGTAACTGCAATAGAAGGCAGATTTTGAAATCTCATTTTCAGAAACAGCTAAATGCGACTCATGTAGGTAATTCAAATGTCCAAAGATGCAGATAGACATCACAGAGGTTTTTTAAAAATTCCCATGTGCTGGAAAGTATGGGCATGGAATGCATGTGAAAGCTGCATTGTCTTTTAAGACTTTAAAGGAAACTCATCTAGTCATCCTTACATAAACATTGTCTAAGCTGCTGCCATTCATTCTGTTAGTGGACATGCACAAACCCAAGACTCTCAAAGCCTTAAGGGCATAGGTGAGGAATCAGTTACCACAGAGTAAGCTGAGGTCTAACCAGATTTGTATGCTCACGCCTTGTGGGACCCCACAGCAGCAGCATGCATCCAACTTGGTGTGAGAGCACAGCATCTTTCTGTGAGAGCAGCACACACCTACCTCACTGTGGGCACACTCTGGCTGTCCCCATTTGGTAACGTTTCCCAGAGGACACCTATGGCTGCGGACTTCAAATGCCAAGACATACCTCATCAGTTCAACTGTTTCAGTTTTTTTGTCCTCTCCATTCTTCCTTGTCTCCTACTACTTTCAATGTTGGCAAGGTGGTTTTGCAAATAGTTCCAACAAGCCTTGCTTATAGATAAAGTTTCCCATAGGCACTAGGCTACTTCTAGGTCAGTACTTTGGTGGTGTCACAAAAGATGACAAGGAAAACCTTAAATACCTTAAAAAATGTGGGCCACTCAGATTTCAACACAGAGCTTTTGTTTCCAAATCATTATTTATCATTTTTTATTTCCATGGAATTTTATTAAAGGTATTTTGTGGTGTTGTTCTGTTGGCTAATACCTTACTTCCCTCTTGAAAAAAAGATATTATCAATATCGATGGGCAAGACTATATGTATATTATATAGTAATGAGATAAACCATTGTGCCTGTGCTTTCTGCAAATGAACATTGTACATGCTTAGTCCTTATTTGTTGATCTTAAAATAAGTTCTTGTATATATTTCACTCTCAGAGTGACAGAACTTTTTTTCTTGGCAGTTGATATTTTTTTGGGGGGTGTGTGTGTTATTCAGTCTCATATTAAACTGTTGCAAAATGAGACATGAACTTTGAGATAGCATCAAATGTTATAATGGAAGACTGAACTGACTGCCACTCTCATTAACAACTTCCATTAAGTGGAAGCAAGATCAAACTTACCCAGAAACTAAAAATTATGTTCCATACTAATTTATAGGAGCCATTTTATTTTCTCATTAAAGTAAAATCAAATTCCTTTTCTAACAGACTTCTGATGTGATCACTTTAAATCCTTAATCAAGTCGTCAAAAACCACCTATGAAAAAGCCTATCCAAATCCTGATTTCAAACATGGAATCTGAAGAGGGAGCCATGTGTTTTTAAAGGTACAGATGGAGGATCTGTATACAGATGTAAAAAAGGAATTCATTAAACAAATCTGAGAATGCTAACATTCATACATACCGCTTTATTAAATGGCATGTGGAACAAAAAGTCTCTAAAATGTATGCTCTCTGGTCTGCTTTCCTTAGGATCTATGAAAGAGAAAAGAACGTGATTTGTCATTTTTGTTTCAGGCAATTTAATTGTGTCTGGACTTAGGTACTGGTGTTCTGAGATCTTTCTTTACTCTTGCCATCACTATGCCTTCAGCTGTAGAGGGAGTTTCATCTTTTAGAAGTTCTTATTTTCAAGAATTTAAGTATTTGATAATAAAGTCCAACAAGCTGGACAAGACAGGGACCTCCTTAATGATTCTTCCCATTGTACTTCTGCAATGCAAAGCTGCTGATCTATATGCATATCACTGGATAGAAGACAGTGTAACAGAGGGCAGAGAGGTTAGGAGCAGAAGGGAACACAGTGATCATTATCTGAGTTACTGGATAATTTCACAAGATTTACAATTCTGGTGTTGATACTACATTTCTGCTGGTATCTCTGGAGAGTGAGGTCAGTTACAGAGGCAGGATTGAGGTGGCCTTAAAAGAAAACCCTACAGACATACTTTCCAAGAATCGCCCTCATGTCATCATGAGATTTGCCTTGCCCACAGAAAACATGGTAGGAACAAATACAGTGATCTTGGGCCCTCAGGCTCCGAGGGCCTTGTGAAGGCTTATGGGCTGACTCTGTTCCTGTGCTCAGGATGCTGCACCCCTACCAACCATGATGGGTATTAAAGCTGAAATATAAACAGTCTGGACTGCAACTCTCCACTGGGCCAGCAAGAATTTCCCTTCATTACAGTTATCTCACAAGTCCATATAAATACAACACTGTAACAGAAATAATGAAAGCAGTACTGTGGATTATTTTTTCTCCCTTGCAGTAAGGAAAGAACACATTTAGGTGGCAATTCTAAAGAGTGATACAGTACTAAGTCCAATGTGAAAGAGAAATACTAAATTTCCCTTCCAAGAATGGGTATGCACTGAAGTTTACAGAGATCATAGGCCTAAAGTCAATACCATCTAATACAATCATTTCATAACAACAAGAGAAAATAATTTGCAGGAAATGCAGGTGATTTATACTGCAGCAGATGACATTCAATCACCAAGGGAAGAAAGCGTCCTAAATGACCAGTGGTACAGCTTTTATTAATGACTCACAATACTAAACTGCTGTTTCACAAATAAAATACCGAAGTCATCAAGTAAATTGTTTTAAAGAAATCATCTACTCTAAATGTGATGAAGTAGTAGGAAACAGGCTACAGAAAAGCTGAGCCGCAAAAACTTGGTAAAGTTTCTGCCCCATTAATTTTCAGTGAGCTCATCTTCGGGATGAAATCTTGACCCTGCTGAAGGCCTGATTACACTAAAATAACTTAAATGCAGTCAGATACAGAAAATGCTCATTACAAATTCCATGCCTGATCCAAAAGTCTGCTTATGCTTTGGATCAGACCTTTGCAGTATAATTAGAGTTCAAGGCTTCAGTGTTCTGAAAGGCAAAGAAAGTACAACTTACCATTCAGATTTTCCTTTTCTAGTCTGTTTCCAGTAGTGGTGTCTCTAAGGTGGTGCACTTTTTCCTTTAAGTAAAAAATAAACATAAAACCAGCTGCAGAAATCAGTAATGGAAATTTACTGTAGAAATAATGAATAACTATAAAAAGCTGTATTCTTCAGTGTTCTGAACAGCAAGCTTCTCTCTCCAGGAAAATTATTTTAAAAGACTGAAAAAATGTCTGTGATGCACTGTAAGTAGATGCTAATTTTAACATTTATACCTGAGAGTCTTGTAGAATTTTTTTCCATCAGTAAGTTACACTGATTCTGGCACTAGATTACAGAGGCTTAGGGGTTTATATTTTGCTTTGGACAAGAAATTTTTCCTCAAAAAACCCAGTGAAGACCAGAAAACTGCACTGACATCATGAAGTAAATTCATCACGTTCATATTGGGCTAACAGTGAAAGACTTTTCTGTGGTATAAAACCAAAGGAGTGTCACACAGGCAATGCAGGGTATAAACCACCACTAGAAAGTAGCTTTTCTCCTGAAGCAGTGAAAACAGGCCGAGTGAATCCTCCTTGAATTACAGGCATCTTCTAGTTAACCAAGAACAAAAAGACTTATGACTTAGTGCTTTTATCTTTGCACAGATTAGATATCATCTTCCTCCACAAGTAACTCCCCAGGCTGATAGAGCAGTACCAACAATTCCTACCTGTGTGCAGACAGATTTGGAAGGGGGCAGCCACCATGCTCTGGCACTGCTGCCGAACAGCCAGTGCTGTGGGTGCCCAGCTGGCGAACTGGGCACCCTTGCACTTTTGCTGTTAAGTGTCTCACTGTGATGACAAAGCTCATACTATTTTTTTTCAGTAAATGGAAACACAAAGAGCATTTAATCTCCCCTTGTTGGCAGCATCTGATAGCTCTCCCACTCTGAAGTAGTAGACTAGCTTTGGTTTTCCTCTTTCTACTAATGCACTTATAGGACAACAAGAAAATATTTTTGTTAAAGCACAACCTCATATAAAATGAGGGCATAACCTCTTCCTTTAGCTGTCTTGTTAGGGGTAATTAACAAACTTCCTCACCATGCCTTTCTCCTTAGCTTCTAGCTTTGATGCAGTTCTTTCAATGACTCAGTGTGTGGGCTTTTGTAAATCCCATTTTTGTGCACCTCAATTTACTCCATACATTGAATATAAAGGAGCCGAAGAGCCCTGCTAACAATTGTGAATTTCTCTAATTAGATTCACCACTTTCAGACAGGCATAAAGCCTGATGTACGTCAATATATATTAACAATGTATGCTTGATACAGGTATGTTTCTGTTACCTGACACTGCTCAGTAGTGCATTTGGTTTGTTCAGCTATAGAAGCTTTTTGGTTTCATAAAAGATGCATAGACCTAAGCATCATCTAGCAGTTTAGAATAAAAGTCTTAAAAGATGAACATTCTTAACTCAGAATTTTAACCAAATGGAACAGCGCCTGAAGTTAGACAAAATAAATTCAGGAAGCCTCTCAAGTAATCAAACAACAGTGAAAATGGGTATCTAGAAGATTCAGAACCAGAAGCAGCAAGTTCCTTGGGGGCTGATGGGCATATAAATCATGACTCTCATTTTTGACCTCACATGTACAAGTCAAAATACAAGAGTTTGTTTTTGGAACTTCTGATCAAGATTCCTGTCAAGAAACATAAATTTTAGACTCTTACCTGTTGAGTGGACTGTAGTCTCTGTTTTTCATTCTGCCACTGTTTAAATCTGTCAAGGGCTTCATCCACAGAAATTATCCCCTTTTTCACCTGTTCCTGCAGGTGGATGAGTTCTTCTTGTTCAGCAGAGATGTTGTGTTTCACACTGCTATCAGTTCCTGTGTCAGGGGGGGCTCTGTGTGCTGCTACAAAATGTAGAAAGATAAAGGTAAAAAAATATAATTAACCCTTTTCATTCCTTCCTCTATGATGCAAGCACTTTTTTAAACAAAGGCATGTAAGCAGTGATTTTATAATCTGACATCAATAAAAACATAGCATCTTTAGGGTGGCTCCCTTCTTCCCTTTTCTTCCTTTCTGTTTGGTGTTTTTTAATTTCAGTAAGAGAAATGCAACAAATCAATGAGAATTTTACCTCTTTGGCAGCAGAGTAGCATCTAAAACATTTCATTATTATTGCTATGGATTCTCCATTAGTGTCTGTTCAAGTAAGAACTTCCTTCTAGAGCTACAGCTACAGTACTGACATTTTAAAGGAAATTGTTGCTATGTTAAGACAAAAAATATCCACAGTGCCTTTTTTTCCCTTCCTTCTCCAACTTAACACACTACATTTCTCAAAAGCTAGAGCTGAAATTTGGTCAGAAAGTATTTTGAAGTTTCACATGATTTCTTTCCCCCAAATTATAAAATACGTTGCAGTGACAAAAAAATGTTACAACCTTGTTCTCCTAGAGATTATGATACAGGTGCACAACTGAAGGGAAAGTACAGGGAGACATGTGTTATCAGATTCACAGCTCAGTCCAAGGAGGTGTGGCACCAGGTATCTCCAGAATACTGATACTGAAATGGTTGACCCAGAACACATGAGCAGCCATGTAACAGGGGTCTTTGAGCCCTGCATGAGACTGTTGCAAAGGTTCCATAAAGCAGAGAATGCAGCCAGGATAAAAGTTCAAACCATAAGTATGATTTGCGGTGGGTTTGCTGCTGCTATGCATCAGCAACTTTATTTTAAGTGAGGAGGGATTGTGCAAAGGGAAATACACTATGGAAGTGAAAAACCAGCTACTGGTGGCTTCTCCCACTCCATTCTTTTGATCATACTAGCACATATTAGGCATGATTCTCTACTCTTTTCCATCTCAGCTGTTTGTATTTTGATGCAGTAATGACTCTAATGCCTTGAACTGCTAAGATTATTTGGAGGTCAGACCAGTTTAGGCAAAACTGCATTTTTCATGTCAGCAAAATGTGTGTGTGTGTGTGTATTTCCTCAGACCCATAAAAACTACTCTGCTTTATCAAAGAACGGTTTGGGTTGGAAGGGACCTTTAACAATTATCTAGTCCAATCCCCCTGCAGTGAGCAGGGAAACCTTCAACTATTATAGATCAGGTTGCTCAGAGCCTCGTCCAACCTGAGCTTGAATGTTTCCAGCAACAGGACATCCACGACTTCTCTGGGCAACCTGGTCCAGTGTCTCACCACTCCCATTGTAAAAAATTCAGTCCTTAGGTCTAGAGTCTGAATCTACCCTCTTTTATTTAAAAACCATTGCCTCTTGTTCAATCACAACAGGGCCTACTAAAAAGTTTGTCCCCATCTTTCCCGCAGGCCCCCTTGAAGTACTGGAAGGCCGCTATAAGGTCTTCTGGAGCCTTCTGAACAACCCCAACTCTCTCAGCCTGTCCTCATAGGGAAGGTGCTCCAGCTCCCTGGTCATTTTTGTGGCCTCCTCTGGACCCACTCCATCAGGTCAATGTCTTTCCTGTGCTGAGGACTTCAGAGCTGGACTCCAGGTGGGGTCTCACCAGAGCAGAATAGAGGGGGGAGAGTCCCCTCCCTTGACCTGCTGGCCACGCTTCTCTTGATGCAGCCCAGGACATGTTTGGCCTTCTGGGCTGCAAGTGCACATTGCTGGCTCACGTCCAGCTTTTCATCCAGCAGTACCCCCAAGTCTTTCTCGGCAGGGCTGCTCTCAATCCCTTCATCCCCCAACCTGTATTGATACTGGGGTTGCCCCAACCCATGTGCAGAACCTTGCACTTGGCCTTGTTGAACCTCATGAGGTTCACATGGACCCACCGCTCGAGCTTGTCCAGGTCCCTCTAGAGGGAATCCCATCCCTCAGGTGTGTCAACTGCAGCTTGGTGTCATCTGCAAACTTGCTGAAGGTGCACTCGATCCCACTGTCTATGTCACTGATGAAGATATTAAAACAGTACTGGTCCCAGTACAGACCCCTGAGGGACACCACTCATCACTGACCTCCATCTGGACATCGAGCCGTTGACCACTATCTCTGGATGTGACCATCCAGCCAACTCCTCATCCACCAAACAGTCACCTATCAAATCCATCTCTCTCCCATTTAGAGAGAAGGATGTTGTGGTAGACAGTGTCAAAGGCCTTACAGAAGTTCAGACAAATGACATCGATAGCTCTTCCCTTCTCCACTGATGTAGTTACTCCATCATAGAAGGCCACTAGGTTGGTTTGCAGAGGTATGCTACCAATATTCCAACATAGCAAGACCTAGAAGTTCTTGTATTCTTTTCCTAAGTGTTTTAGCAGTCATGAAAAGTAACGTCAGTAGCACTACAGACTGCAGTTCTCTGCTGCAGAAATAAACAGGTGATTACATGCTGCTCTATATGCTTTAATCCTGACCTGCTACTTGTTAACAGAAGAGGGAGGAAAAAATCTTCACTCAGTGTTCATTCATTTTGTACATAACATTGTTAATTATTTTAGGGTACCATTAACAGAATTTATCGTGGCAGCATTTTGACATGCTGCAACTCAAATAACAACTTGGGCTGCCACAAGTAATTCATTTTACCTGAATCTTGGGGTACCCAGGAGAGAACTGTTGCTCCCTAACACTAATGCCTTTCTATGGCTGGAAGTAGTGCACAGCTGAGCCCTCCTGTCCTTCCTTTTCTTGGTTTTAATCACAATGGAGAAAAGAAACAGAAAAGCATAAAGTAACTCTGACTCTACAAATCTTTACCATAAGTGTAACTTCTATTATTCTTTCTTTAATCTGATCTCTTAATACTGCAATACCATTAAGGATATAAATCATATATGGAAAAATAGATGATAAATCAGTCAAAAATCAAGTCACAGCAAATCTCTACTAGTTCTACTGAAAAGCGTCAAGGTAGTTAAGGAGATAAATTAAATTCAGTACCGGGCTTCCTGGCATCGCAGTATGTCCTGTTGTTTTCATTGGGCACTCGAGTGGCCTTTTGCTGAAACACTGCAACAAAATTAAGAATATAAGGCAATTAGTGGAAAATAGATATAAAAAACATCAGACATTCTGAACAAAGGAAGAAGGCTCATGAAACCAGGCTGGAATAAATTCCTTGTTCTAGCCTAGGAGTACTACTCTACCCACTTGTCAGTCTAATATTAATTACTTGAAAAATTGTTCTGTTGCATAGAGTGGCAAGATTACTGATATTACAGATAACATGTCAAGAAGCTCTGAAGAAAATAAAATAGACATCACATTAACATATTACTTGTTCAGAAAAAACAGCTAGATCTTGGAGTTCTTCATATGGCACAGGCACTTACTGTAGTCTGTTTCTTATTTTATGGAGAAAGCTAAGGCAGAAAACCACAATAGTACTAGGTGAGAATAATGACACTGCTTAAGAAAGAGTATATTTTTGTCTGCTTTATGCAGGCACTAGGAATAGCAAAGCACGATCACTTATTTCATTAGCATAGACCATCATCCCCATTCCTGTGAGGTGCCCAGATTACAGCCAGCCTGGATAAAAAACTGCGTAAAAAACTGTCTGGATGGCCGGGCCCAAAGAGTTGTGGTGAAAGGAGTTAAATCCAGCTGGCGGCCAGTCACGAGTGGTGTCCCCCAGGGCTGGGTTTTGGGGCCACTACTGTTTAACATCTTTATTGATGACCTAGAAAAGGGGATCGAGTGCACCCTCAGTCAGTTTGCAGATGACACCAGTTGGGTGGGAGTGTTGATCTGCTCGAGGGCAGGGAGGCTCTGCAGAGAGACCTGGACAGGCTGGAGCCATGGGCTGAGCCCAACTGGAGCAGTTTCAATCAGGCCAAATGCCGGGGGCTGCCCTTGGGCCACAACAACCCCCAGCAGCGCTACAGGCTTGGGGAGTCGTGGCTGGAGAGCTGCCAGTCAGAGAGGGACCTGGGGGTGCTGATTGACAGCCCGATGAACAGGAGCCAGCAGTGTGCCCAGGTGGCCAAGAAGGCCAATGGCATCCTGGCTTGTGTCAGCAATAGCGTGGCCAGCAGGGACAGGGAAGGGATCTTACCCCTG